AAGGAAGGAAGGCAGGAAGGCAGGAAGAAGGCAGGAAGGCAGGAAGAAGGCAGGAAGGAAGGCAGGCAGGCAGGCAGGATGGAAGGAAGGAAGGAAGGAAGGAAGGAAGGAAGGAAGGAAGGAAGGAAGGAAGGAAGGAAGGAATTTTGCAAGTATGTTGCCACTGAGCTATGAAAGAAGTCATGGAAAATACTTAGATGTGTGTAGCTTTGCTTATATAAATCTTTAACTTACAAAGAAAAGCAACTGGTCTGAAGACCATATATCTTTCACCCCAAGTTAAAAATTCACATTATAAAATGTAAGAACTACAAAATAACAAAACAAAATGTTAGTTAATACTGCCAAGCTAGCAGCAGAACTAAAAATGAAATTGTAACAGAATAACTGATTGAAATGCATCCATGAAAGAGGGAAAATACCAAGAATAAATGGTAATTACAATCTAACAAGTGAAACGGCAGCTTTAAACACAATCATATCAAAATATAAAATGTAATAAGTCTAATACTGCACATTAAAAAGCACACATTTTCAGGCTGCATAAAAATCACGGATGTCATATGTACTTCACTGCTACACAGTTTAAAACGAAGACACAGAAGAACATTTAATACTGCTCTATTAAAAGTCATAACAGTAATATTAATGCATTGAAGTAAATCATTTAATAATGATAACATTTACTTGTCAAGAACGAATCACACCCATTAAAAAGTTGCTTAAAAACTTTGGTTGAATTCAAGAAATAAACAAATATATAACTGTAATACAAGATTACATGTGTTTCCAAAACATAAAAACATGTATAGTTATGTATCAAATTCTAAATTTCTAAAGCAGCCACTATTAGCAAACCTGATCTAACAAACATTTAATGAATGTCCAACCAACCCATAAGAGATTACACATTTTCCTTACATGTGCATGGAACATTTACAAATATATATCATGTTATAAAGAATACAGTAAGTATAAACAAATTTAGGAGGATTCAGGTTATGAAAGGTATCTTTTTTGACTACAGTAAATTGGGTTATAAAACAATATTAGAAAGATACCTGGAAAATAACCACATATGCATAAATTAAATACCATGTTTTCAAATGCCCAATGAGTCAAATAAAGGAAATTAGGAAGAACATTAAGCAAAGCAAAAGTACTGTATTACAAAATATCAGTAATAAGATTAACCAGTAACAATTTCTAACACTAAATAGTTGCATTAGAAAAGAAAGGCTTCAAATCAGTAACTTCTTTCTATCTAGAAACAAGAAAAAAAGCTAGTAACTACAAAGTAGTAATAAAGATTAAAGAAAGGGAAAATGGAAACATAACACACAAAAAAATAACCCACAAAAGCTTGTATCTTAAAAAGAAAAAAAAACTGATAAACCTCTGGCAATGTCAAGCAGGACTAAAGAGAAGACAAACTACCACCATGAGGAGTGAGAGCCATCTATAAACAAGCTATGAGAAAAGATAATAATGGAATATAATGAACAGTTGTGGTAGCTTTAAGTGAGAAATGTCTCATATGGGCTCATGTATTTGTCACTGAGTCCCGAGCTGTTGGCACTGTTTGAACAGGTTATGAACGATTTAGGACAAGAAATATTACTGGAGAAAGTATATCATTGAGGACAGGCTTTGAGCTTTCCAGACTTGCCGGCTTCCAAATCATTCTGCCTGCTACTTAAGTGTTTGTGAGATGAAATCCTTTAGCTTCCTACCCTGCTGTCATGTCTCTCCTGTCATTATGGGCTCTCCCCCTGGAACTGCTGGCTAAAATAAACTCTTCCTACTAGAAGTTCCTCGGGGTCATGGCATTTTAATACTGCAAAAGCAACAACAATATAACTAATGTAAAACCTATAGCTACAAATTTGATGAAACTAATAAATTCCTTGAAAGACATAAGCTAGCAGATAAACTCAATCAAAAGGAAACAATAGTATTAAATCTATTATATAAACTGACTTTTTAGTTAAACACCTTACCAAAAAGAACTTCTTTTAGCAGAACACTTTACCAGGACAAACTGCCTTCACACATTCTATCAATCATTATTAATAATTAGTACTGAATTTAAATAAATTCTACTGCAAAGTTGAAGAAAAAACTATCCAACTTAGGAAGCAAGAATTACTCTTGACACAACAAATACATGAAGAAAACATAAAACAAGAATATAAATATCCCTCATGAAAAGAATTATAGGTATGGAGAGATGGCTCAGCAATTACAAGCACTCCATGGCTGTTTATAACCATCTGTAACTACAGTTCCAGGGGAATCTAATACCCTCTTTCAGCCTCCATTGGCACTACCTGAGTATGATGCCCAGACATACATTCAGGCAAAACACTCATACACATAAAATAAAAACAGAAGAGAAAAATTAAAAAAAAAACACAAAATGTTTATAACAAACATTTAGCACATATCATCCAATAATATTTTTAAATAATTATACTTGATGTCTATGGGGGATTCCTTTACATATGCAAAGTTGCATTACCATTTCACTTTCACTTAATTCACTCCATTTAATTTGAAATTAATAAGCTTCATTTAATTGACCATTTCATAAATTAAGCAGGAAAAAAGTCTCAGCTAAATATAAGTGACAATATATGACATCTGTCCAAAACTTAGTAAGAGATGGTAAGTCAACCCAATAAAGCATACATAAATATACAGCTTTATGTTTTAGAGTGAAATTAAGCTTCCCTCTGTTTTGAATCAGTAAGAAGACAAGAATGCCTGCTTCCCATCAAATTTGTTCAACATCAGAATGAAAACTCAAGCCAGTGTTAACAAGGTTATTAAAAGAGAAATAAATACAGGATATCCAATGCGGAAAGAAGTAAAGCACCTTGTCAAAAGTAATTAATATAAAAGCTTTTGAATCTACACAAAAATCAGCCAAAAGATGTAATTCTACTAGAGTATGAAATACAAGCTCAAAATAGAAAAACTCTATTGTTTTTCCCACTAACACTGAAATTAAAAGAACAATTCTACTTACATCATTGAAACAGGAAGCACTAAAAGATAAATCTGACAAAAGATGAAGACCTATATGCTGAAAATAATCACTGCTAAAATTAGCCAACTGCTGATGGAATGGAATGAGAAACCATGTTTAAAGAAAAGTCAATATTTTTAAATTTCCATTTTGTACAAACTGACCTCCAGATTGAATGAAATGTCAATCAAATTCAAAGTGGGCTTTTTCTTAGAGAATGAAAAGTTGACTTTCAAATTAATAAAGAAATGCAAATGACCTATAAGATCCTAAATAATTTTCACAAGAAAAGCAAAGCTCATGGATTGTAATCACTGACTTCAAGATATATTATATAGATTTGGTAATCAAGACAGAGGGGTAATGTCATGAAGATAGACAAATGAATCAGTGAACAGAACAGAGTATCCAGAGATGGGCCTCCACATACATGAAAATCTGATTTTAAATGAAATTACAAAGCAATTCAGTGAAGAAAAGATAATTTTTCCCAACCATGATGCTAGAAGTGGATATATCGCTATGAATTTTAAAAAGACTTCAGCACATACCTATATAACCACATATTAAAATAACCCAAAATGAGTTAAAATACAAAAATAAATAAAACTACAGAATCCTCTAAAATACACAGGAAAAAATTTTCACCTAGAATTAGGTAAACATTTCTTAGGTGGGATTATTAAAAGCCATTGACTTAATGGGTAAATTATAAACCTGACTTCAGCAAAACTAAGAAACTCTGCTTTCAAAAGATAGGAGATTTAAAAGGTAAAGTACAAACCAGAAGAACATATTTAAAAACAACATATGATGAGACTTCCATCTAAACTATATGAGAAACTCTGGAATCTCTATAAGAAAACAAATAATTCACTTCAAAATGGACAAATGTTTAAACACTTTATCAAAGAAGATAGACAGCAAATAAATGCAGGAAAAGATGTCCAACATCATTAGTCTTTAATGTGATGAAATTCAGAACCACAATTAGGGAACACTATATACTTAACAGATGTACAAAATTCGTTTTTAAAAAAAGACTGATCATACCAACTGTTGGCAAGGATGTAAAGCAACTGAAATTCTTACATGCTGCTGTTGGGAGTGTAAAAATTATACAAAGCATTTTGGAAAACAGTTTGGCAGAGTCTTTAAAGTTAAAACATACACCTACCACGTAACTCAGCCATTAAACTCCTAGATATTAATTCATGAGAAATGAAAACATATGTCAATACAATCATTTGTACATGAATGTTTACAGCAGCTTAATTGGTAATATCCAAAAACTGCAGTAACTCAAACATTCATCAGGTAAATAAACAAAACATGTTACATCCATATAATGGGTACTACTCACCAATAAGAGTGAATGAACTGATACACACAACAACATGGATAAATCAAAATAACTATAATTATTTAAATCAGACAAAAAAGAATGTATTTATATTATGATTTTGCTTCTATAATCTAAAAAAAACATAAACAGTGGCAGACAGCAGATTCAGTAGGAGTGGGAAAAATACATTATAAACATTTTGCAATAATGTCACTTTATTTTAATAATGATTTCACAGTTACATGAAAAGACAAAAGATCAAACTGTGTAATTTGTTGTACCATTTACTGCATTCAATTACACCTCAATAAATTCACTTTAAATGAACAAAGTAATTAAACACTACACTAACAGGCATTTAGGTAGCTTAAGTAGCCAAAGTCCTAGGCTTGCTCCTATCTACTTCACTTAGTTAATCATAATGCCTTTTTGTCTCAGACACAAGGAAAAGGAACACTGAGATTATCTAAAAGACACACAGATAAAGTATCAACTGACATACATCACTAAATACTATATACAGTGATAAAAAGCTTATGATTTCAAATTTCTACAGGAAAATTATATGACATTTTAGCTTTACTGGAATAAAATATACTAACAAATTTATAAGGAAATTCTCACCTCTTTGGATAATCTCGTGAAGACATCTCCTCCCCTGAGGAAATCCAAGATTAAATACAGCTTTCCTTCAGTCTGAAAGGCTAATCAGAAATCATAATGTTGTAGTAGACTAACGGTAAACACTGAAAATTTATCATAATTTTATTAACATGTTTACAATTTTATTTTCAAATATTAGAAAATAATTACATATTAGCATGGTCCATTGTTAGATAATGTATCAAATTTAAATCCACTATTCAATAAAGTGCTAAAATAGCTATGAATTCCCATCCAAACATATTCAATGTTGCATGTGGCTTTACACAATCTTCTACCACTAAAATTTTCCTTTTAATGAAGTTGCTTATTCTAGTGCAGTTGACTGAAATTTGTCTCCCAATTATATCTATTGTACTCTACAAAGCTCAAAAAGGTCACAACCACTAACAAGCCTCCCAACTTTTCACACTTCTTTATCTCCATCAAAGTTTTCTAATAATACATTTGATATTTAAATGTACTTCATGGCCTTTTGTGGTATTTATCTCACTTTCATTTGCACATTCATTTTCAGTTTTATTCTCTATACATTACTGGAAATCAGAGATTATTTCCCTTCAGTATCTCACTTCATTTAGTACAGTATTTTGCCACAATAGGGGTTTGCTATTAATCTCATATCATGTAAGAGACTCAAAAGACATTCTATTAATACTAATTCTATTTCATTAGATTAAAAAAGAGTTAAATGGGTCAGAATTTCTTGTAGTGTTTGAATAACTTGCGTAAATATTTAAAATAATTTTTGTCAAAAATTACACTAAGAATAAAATCAATATGTGCTACATTTTAAATTCACAGAATGAAATGGTATTGTAAACTGTATCAATGCTTTATTTTGATCAATTAATTCCCCAATAAAATATCTACAACCTCTTTTATATATGTACAATGGAGACATGATTCAAATTCATAAATGTCTACTTCAAAACTCATCCCCCCCATTATTTCTGCTTCATCTTACTGATCTTGCTTCCTCCCTAACATAATAGAACAGTTTAAGCTGACTAATATAATCACATTGCCTTCTTGATTAGAACTGGAAAAATAATATTGTCCTTGTAAATAAACATCTGAATGCTTTACATAAATTATCATAGTAGCCTATGATCACTGGAGCTACTGTCTCATCTCATCTAGAAATACTATCAGTCAAACAAGTTGAAGACATTTTCATCACTTGGTAATTTCATATATACATATACTGAGTTTTCATATGTACATATACATATATACACACTTACCCCCATTTCCTTCCCTCCAATTCTACCCATAGCCTCCCAACACTATTCCCTCCCAGTTTCATGTGCTCATTTTTAACTTAAGAATCTGCACAGAGTTACTAGTATGTGCATAGATGTAGGGACATCTTAGATAAAGAAAACTGACTCTTTTCCAGCAGCCAGCAGCTGACAATAGTTTCTCATGAAGTGAGACTTCATGACCTCCCTCTGTGATACTTGATGGGATTTTGGAAGATATTATCAGGTTACTTTAACAAAGACAATGAAATTCAACTAAAAGCTAGCTATTGATACATATTTCAGATATATTTTATATTGTTGAATACATTAGATAACTCTCAAGTACTTATTTCTTGTTATAGTATCTGAATGAAATTTCACTTCTCTAATTACATAATAAAAGAAGGGTTGCATACCATAGTGTAATTTGACGATAAACGGATGATTTACTTCCACCAGAATATCCCTTTCCATCTTTGTGCGAACTCGATCTCGAACTAAAGTCACACCAAGATTGAAATGTTATACTTGTTAGTAATCTCAGTAAAGACCTGTCATTTACCAATCAAAATATATATACATAAATAAGTAAACAATGTAAATAAGTCTGTGTGGTCCTAGATAATAACCATTTTCAGAAAACAGTAGATTTTGTTTAGATCTAGAGACAGGCTAAAGTAGCATATTTGGCTAATATGTATTTGTCCAAGTTTTCATGTGAAATTAAACTAAAATTAGTAGTAAACTTTGTTCTCTATTGTTCTCTCTCCTCTCCCTCCTTCCTTCTCTCTTTCACTGGGTTTAAGGAAGCTCATGCTGGTCTTGAATATAGTATACAGTGGAGGATGACCTTGTACTCTACCTCTCTAGAGCTAGGATTGATTTAGGTATCATCATGTCAGGGTCAGTATTAATTTTATAGGTCCAGAAGATGGCACATATATATATATATGGAGTAGTTGTGCTTTCTAAATATGCAACACCCAGACAAAACAGTAAAAATAATAATGTTGAAAGAAGGAGTAAACATTTTTAAAATGTTGAAGTTCGGACTGAATTTAATGAAATATGTCATATTTCCTGATATTAAACATATATTCAGGTATATATTCAGCAAACTAAGTTATATGACAATAGAGAAACCCAAAAGTATCAATTGATAACTAGGAAACTAATAATTAACAATGCTAAAAAGCAACTCTAACTATTCCCCTTACAAGCAATACACAGTCTGTTTCTTAAAACGAGTTTTATTACATTATCTTTTTAATATGATACCTTTCAGACAAGCTTTTCTTAACACCTTCATTGCATAGAGCTGCCCAGCATCAGGACCAGTCTTCTTCCTAACAAGAAAAACCTAACAGAAAAAAATATTTTTAAGTGAATTTCAATTCAATCCACTTCATCACTTTAAATGTACTTTCTTATATATTCCTGTGTATTTCATACAATGTATTCTGATTATATCTACCTACTATGCTCCCCAATTTGTTCCATTGCCATCATATCTCTCCCAAGATCATGTTAGATACTGAACTTAAGCCAATTAGTGCTTCTAGCATGTGCATAGGTTTAGAGCCTACTATGAGAACATGAGCAACTTACTAAACAAAACTGACCCTTCCAAACCCTATCCCTGTAGAATTTTAACTGGCTTGATACTGTGCAAGTTCTGTACTGACAACCACAGTTCCTATGAGTTTATGATCAGTCTGGTCATATCCAGAAAATACTGTTTCATAGTAGTCATGCCCAA